TAGTCTAAAAACTCCAAAACTTCCGCCATTTTTGGGCGAACATCATTAGCTCACGTGCCGGATGAGATCCTATGTGCATGCTTTTGCCATGTGGTAGGTCTCAAAACCTCAAACTAGGGATTATGTTTTTATAAACAGTTTCACCCTCGCTCACCGGCTCTTCCTTCGTGGAAAGGCCACATGCACGCATCATTTCGAAACAACAAAAAACTATATTTTCCAAGTGCCTAAACATCGCTTTTTTGCAAAGTACCCCGAGCCATGGCGTAAGGTAATGAGTTTTATTGCTTGGCTCGTTTTCATCGAAATAGTCTAAAACTCACAAAACTTGGTCAGCCATTTTTGGGCGAAAATCACCATTAAGCCTTCGTCAGCCGAGGTCACGATAGTCTCTGTGTTTATCGCTTTTGCCATGTGGTAGGTCTCAAAAACCTCAGACCAAAGGATTACAAGCTTCTACAGCAAATTTTCACCCTCGTTCACGCTTCATACTTTCGGAACTTGAAAGGCCAGCACGCGCGCATCATCTCAAAAAAAAACTAAAAAACTATATTCTCGGCCTAAGCATCGTTTTGCGCAGTCACCCCGAGCTCATGGCGTAAGGTGGTGAGTTTTATTGTTGGCTCGTTTTCCATCGAAATAGGTCTAAAAACTCACAAAACTTGACGATGGCTGGGCGAAATCACCATTAACACGGGGCCGAGGCCGACGAGCCCCATGCAGCGCCGCTTTGCCACGTGGGAGGTCTTAAGAACCTCCTCAAACCAAATGGTTTTACAGCTTTTTATATAAATTTTTCACCCTTCGATCACACGTCCATTTCTTGGACTCTGAAAGGCCACACGCACGCATCATCTCAAAAAATTAGAAAACTATATTTTCTAGGCCTAAACATCGTTTTTTTGCAAAAGTCACCCGAAGTCTCACGGCGGCAAGGTACTGAGTTTTTATTGTTGCCTCGTTTTCCATCGAAATGGGTCTAAAAACTCACAAAACTTGGCCTGGCCATTTTTGGCGCATACATCACCATTAGCTCAGCAAATGCCGAGGCCGACGAGTCCCTATGCTCGTCGCTTTGCCATGTATATTCAAAACTGGGGATTGCCAGCTTTTCTATACCGACTTTCTTGAACCTGAGACTATCACATCTCGAAAAACTAAAAACTATATTTTCCGGCTAAGAAAGTGTCACTGTACCATGGCGTATAGTAATGAATTTTTATTGTTGGTTGCTTCCACGAAAACTCGTGGGTTACGAACATTAGCTCACAAGCCAAGGCCGATGAATTGTCTTGCCACGTGGTAGGTTCGCGATTACAGCTTTTTCTATAAATTTTTCAATTTTCGCCACAACGGGTTGAGAATATTACGCACGACGACTTTAAAACTAAAAACTATACTTGTGTTTGCCATCGCTTTTTTCAAAACACGCTCAAGGGCGCAAGGTAATGAATTTATTATCGCTCGCTTTCCATCGGGGTCAGAAAACACAATTTTTGGTTTTTCCACATTTTTGGCTTAAAAATGACATTATTACGTGCGTATGACTGCGCAACCGTCTTTGCCGGTAGGTTCTCAAAAGCCTCAAACCAGTGTGATTGCAGCTTTTCTATAAATTATTCACCCTCGTTCACCCCGCTCTTCTCGGGAATCTTGACAAGGCCACATGCAACGCATCATCTCGAAAAATTGAAAACTATATTTTCTAAGGCTAAACATCGTTTTGGCGTAAAGTCACCCCGTTAGCTCAGTGGCGTAAGTGCAATGAGTTTTTGTCGTTGGCTCGTTTTCCATCGAAATAAGGTCTAAAAACTCACAAAACTTGGTCGGCCATTTTTGGGCAAAATCACCATTAGCTCACTGCCGAGGTCGACGAGCTTCTATGGTTGCTTTGTTCGCCATGTTGGTAGGGGTCTCAAAAACCTCAAACCGTGATTACGGTGTTTTCTATAAATGTATTTCACCCTCGTTCACACCGGCCCTTCGAACTTGAAAGTGCCACATGCACGCATTCCATCAACGAAAGGCTACCAAAACTATATTTTCTTCTAGGCCTAGACATCGTTTTGCAAGAGTCACCCCGAGCTCATGGCGTAAGGTAATGAGTGATACTGTTGGCTTCGTTTCTCCATCGAAATAGAGCCCAAAAATCTCAAAACTTGTCTGGGCCATTGTTTGTTTTTGGCTTTGGAGATCAACCATTAGCTCACCGGCCGAGGCCGATCTGAGTCTCTGCGTTTGTCTTGCATTTGCCATGCGGTAGTGTCCCAAAAACCTACAAACCACGGATTACAGCTTTTAAACAGCAAATCTTTTTCACCCTCGTGCACGCCGCCCTTCGTGGAACTTGCAAGGCCATCATGCACGCATCATCTCAAAACTGAAAACTATGTTTCTAGGCTAACATCGTTTTTGCAAAAGTCACCCCGAGCTCATGGCGTAAGGTAATGAGTTTTTATTGTTGGCTCGTTTTCCATCGAAATAGGTCTAAAACTCACAAAACTGTTGCCGCCATTTTTGGGCAAAATCACCATTGGCTCACAAGCCGAGGCCGATGAGCTCTATGTTTGTCGCTTTTGCCACGCGGTAGGTCTCAAAAGCCTCAAACCAGGGATGTACAGTTTTTATATAAATTTTTTCGCCACGCCGGCCCTTCTTGGAACTTGAAAGGCCACATGCACCATCATCTCAAAAAAATTAAAAACTATATTTTCAGCCTAAACATCGCTTTTTTTTGCAAAAGTCACCCCGAGCTCACGGCGTAGGCGGTAATGAGTTTTTATTGTTGGCTCGTTTTCCATCGGAAATCTAAAAACTCACAAAACTTGGCCGGCATTTTTGGGCGTAAAATCACCATTAGCTCACAAAACCGGTGACGATGAGCTCGATGCTTGGCGTCTGTCTTGCCATGTGGTAGGTCTCAAAACTCAAACCAGGGATTACAGCTTTTCATATAAATTGTTCACCCTCGCTCACACCGGCTCTTCTTGGAACTTGAAAGGCCACATGCACGCATCATCTCGAAAAACTAAAAACTATATTTTCTAGGGCCTAAACATCGTTTTTTTGCAAAAGTCACCCCGAGCTCATGGCGTAAGGTAATGAGTTTTTATTGTTGGCTCGTTTTCCATCGAAATAGGTCTAAAAACTCACAAAACTTGGCCGGCCATTTTTGGCGTAATCAATTAGCTCACGTCACAGGCCGATGAGTCTCTATGTTTGTCGCTTTGCCATGTGGCTAGGCCTCCTCAAACCAGCGGATTACAGTTTTTCTATAAATTTTTCACCTCGTTCACACCGACTCTTCTGGGAACTGAAAGGCCACATGCACGCATCACTCGTCCAAAAACTATATTTTCTCGGGCCTAAACATCGTTTTTTTGCAACAGTCACCCCGAGCCCATGGCGTGAGGTACGATGAGTTTTTTGAGCGTCGGCCTGCTCATCCAGTCGGAAACAGTCGTAAAACTCACAAAACCCTGTCTCCGCCACTTTGGCGCAAAAATGACCACTAGCTCACTCGCCGAGGTCAGACGAGTCTCGCTGGTCGTCTTGCTTGCCATGTGGTAGGTCTGTTCAGCATAGCTTTTCTATAAATTTTTCACCTGTCCACACCGCTCTTCTTGAACTTGAAAGGCCACATCACGCATCACCTCGAAAACTAAAAACTATATTTTCAGCCTAAACATCGTTTTGCAAGAGTCACCCCGAGCTCATGGCGTAAGCGTAATGAGTTTTTATTGTTGGCTCGTTTTCCATCGAAATCAGGTCTAAAAACTCACAAAACTTGGTCGGCCATTTTTGGGCGAAATCACCATTAGCTCGCAGTCGAGGCCGATGAGTCTCTATGTTCGTCGCTTTTGCCATGTGGTAGGTCTCAAAAACCTCAAACTAGGGATTACAGCTCTTCGATAAATTTTTCACCCCATTCACACCTACCTCTCTTGAACTTCAAAGGCCACATGCCATCATCTCTAAAAACTAAAAACTATATTTTCCAAGCTATACGTTTTTGCAAAAGTCACCCCGAGCTCATGGCGTAAGGTAATGAGTTTTTATTGTTGGCTTCGTTTTCCATCGAAATAGGTCTAAAAACTCACAAAACTTGGTCGGCCATTTTGGGCGAAAATCACCATTAGCTCACCGCCGAGGCCGATGAGTCTCTATGTTTGTCGCTGTTTGCCACGTGGTAGGTCTCAAAACCTCAAAACCAGGATTACAGTTTTACTATAAATCTACTCGTTTCACCCCGCCCTTCTTGGAACTGAAACATACGCACGCATCATCTCGAAAAACCTCAAAAACTATATTCTCTGCGTCTAAACATCATGTTTTTGCAAAGTCACCCCGAGCTCATGGCGTAAGGTAATGAGTTTTTATTGTTGGCTCGTTTTCCATCGAAATAGGTCTAAAAACTACAAAACTTCGTCTGCCATTTTTGGCTGAAAATCACCATTAGCTCACAGCCGAGGCCGATGAGTCTCTATGCTTGTCGCTTTGCCATGTGGTAGGTCCGAAAACCTAACCTGGATTACAAGCTTTTTCTATGCATCTTTTCACCCTCGTTCACACCGGCCCTCTTGGAACTTGAAAGGCCACATGCACGCATCATCTCGAAAACTAAAAACTATATTTTCTTAGGCCTAAACATCGTTTTTTGCAAAAGTCACCCCGAGCTCATGGCGTAAGGTAATGAGTTTTTATTGTTGGCTCGTTTTCCATCGAACAGTCTAAAAACTCACAAAACTTTGTCGGCCATTTTGGGCGAAAATGACCATAGCCTGCCAGCCGAGGCCGATGAGTCTCTATGCCTGTCGCTCTTGCTCACGTGGTAGGTCTCAAAGCCTTTCAAACCGTGTGATTGCAGCTTTTTCTATAAATCTTTCATCCTCGTTCGACACCTACTCTTCGGGAACGTTGAGAGGACACATGCACGCATCATCTCGAAAAACTAAAAACTATATTTTCCGGCGCTAAACATCGTTCTTTGCAAAAGTCACCCCGAGCTCATGGCGTAAGGTAATGAGTTTTTATTAGCTGGCTCGCTTTCCACCGAAAATGGGTCTAAAACCACACCGCTTTTGGCGAAAAATGACCACAAATTGACAACAGGCCGACATTCCGTCGGCACGTTTTGCCATGTGGCAGGTCTCGCTTTTTCAAACCAGACACAGCTTTTTCTATACCCTCGATACTCTTCTGGGTTCCTGCCACATGCACGCATAATCTCGAAAACTGCTGTTCAAACATCGCAGTGTCACCACGAGGCGTAAGGTAATGAGTTTGGCTCATCGCCGGTCTAAAAACTCACAGTACCTTGGTCGGCCATTTTTGGGCCTAAAAGTTAGGCTCACCGCCGAGGCCGACGAGTCTCTACGCCTGTCTTGCTTTGCCACGCGGCAGGTCTCAGAAACCTCAAACCGAAGGATTACAAAAGCTTTTCTATAAAATTTTCACCCTCCGTTCATCACAACGAATCTCTTCTTGAACTTGAGAGGCCACATGCACGCACGATCTCGAAAAACCAAAAACTATATTCTGTTCTAGGCATAAACATCGTTTGCTTTACAAGAGTCACCCCGAGCTCATGGCGTAAGGTAATGAAGTTTTTATTGTCAAATAAGCTCGTTTTCCGATCGAAACAGTCTCGAAAACTCACAAAACCCGGTCGGCCATTTTTGGGCGAAAATTCACCATTAGCTCACAAATGAGGTCACGATGTCTCTATGTCAGTTGCCGCTTTTGCCATGAGGCAGGTCTCAAAACCCAAACCAGCGATTGTCATGGGCTCCTTCTAGATTGTTTCACCCTCGCTCACACCGGCCCTTCTCGGGAACATGAAAGGCCACATGCACGCATCAACTCAAACTAAAAACTATATTTTCTTCAGGCTTCCAAACATCGTTTTTTTGCAAAGTGTCACCCCGAGCTCATGGCGTAACGTAATGAGTTTCTTTATTGTCGGCTCGTTTTCCATCGGAACGGTCTAAAAACTCACAAAACTTGGTCGCTGCCATTTTTGGGCGACAATCACCATTAGCTCACCGCTCGAAGGTCGACGAAGTCTCTATGGCTGTCGTTTGTTTGCCAGCGTGGTGGGTCTCAAAACCTACAAACCAACTGGATTACAGGTTTTTCTATAGATTTATCACCACGCCTGTTCACACCGGCCCTTCTTCGAGCTTGAAAGGCCACATGCACCCATCATCTCGAGAAACTAAAAAACTATATTTTTCTAAGGTTCATAAACATCGCTTTTTTACAAGAGTCACCCCGAGCTCACTATGCGTAACGCAATGAGCGTATCGTTGGCTCGTTCTCCATCGAAATAGGCTAAAAACTCACACAGCTGCGTCTTGCCATTTGGGGCGAAAATCACCATTACCACAACTGAGTCGATGAGTCTCTATGTTCGTCGCTTTTGCCATGTGGTAGGTCTCAAAAACCTCAAACCAGGATTACCGCTTTTCTATAAATTTTTCAGTCCTCGGCCATCGCCGCCTCCTTGGAACCCAGAACGCACACATGCACGCATCATCTCGGCAAACTAAAAAACTATATTCTCTGAGGGCCTAAACATCGTTTTTTGCAAAAGCTCACCTCCCTGCTCATGGCGATGCCAAGGCAACGAGTTCTTTATTGTTGGCTACGTGCTTCCATCGAAATAGGTCCAAAAACTCACCAAAACTTGGCTTCCGCCATTTGGGCGAAAATCACCATTAGCTCACGCGTCGACGGGTCGATGAAGTCTCTGCATGGCCGTTTTCGCATGCTATGTAGGTCTCAAAACCTCAAACCAGCGATTACATGTTTTCTATAGATTATTTTCACTCTGGCTGGGCCACATGCACGCATCATTCGAAAACTAAAAAAACTATATTTTCTAGGCCTAAACACCGTTTTTTTGCAAAGAGTCACCCCTCAGCCGATGGCGGCAGGGGTAACGAGTTTTTATTATTGGCTCGTTTTCCATCGAAATGGGTCTAAAACTCACAAAACTCTGGTCGGCACGGTTTTGGGCGAAAATCACCATTAAGCCAGCTGGGCCGAGGCCGATGAGCTTAAGCTTGTCGCTTTTGCCATGTGGTAGGTCTCAAAAACCTCAAAACCAGATCGCGCTTTTCTATAAAGCTTCTACCCTCGCTTCACACTGCCCCTCTTCTTGGAACTTGAAAGGCCACATGCGCGCATCATCTCGAAAAACTAAAAACTATATTTTCTGGTCGGCAAACATCGTTTTTTTGCAAAAGTCACCCCGAGCTCATGGCGTAAGGTAATGAGTTTTTATTGTTGGCTCGTTTCTCCATCGAAATAGGTCTAAAAACCACAAAACTTAACTGTAAGACAAAAATGCATGCATCATTCGAAAATTAAAAACTATATTTCTAAAAATAAAACATCGTTTTACAGTCACCCCCAGCGATGAAAAGGTAACATTCATCGAAATAGGTCTAAAACTACAAAATTCGTTGGGCGAAAATCACCACAATACGTCGGTGTCGACGAGTCTCCCAGGCTGCTTGCCATGCGGTAGGTCTCGTAATATACAAGGGATTACAGCTTTTCTATAATTTGACAACGCCGAACATGCACGCATCACTCAAAAACTAAAAAAACCATATTTCCTAGGCCTAAACACGCTTACAAAATTCACCACGAAGCCATGGCGCATGCACGAATTTTTATTGTTAAAATGGTCTAAAAACTCAATACAAGTCTTACCATTTTTTGGGCGAAAATGACCATTACCATATCGGTGTCGACGAAATTATGTTTGTCTTGCCAGGAAAATTTCAAAGTCTTCAAACTGTGGATCATAGTTTTTCTATAAATTTTTTAGCCCTCTGCTTCACACCGGCCCTTCTTGGAACTTCGGGAAATATGCCACGCATCATCTCGAAAAACTAAAAACGGCATTTTCTAAGTTCCAAACATCGTTTTTTTGCGAAATCACCCCGAGCTCAGGCTGTAACGGTGAATAGTTTTATCGTTGGCTCGCAGCTCCGCCGAACTAGGTCTAAAAACTCACAAAACTTTATCGGCCATTTTGGGCGAAATCACCAATAGCTCACGGTCGAGGCGACCTGGAAGTCTCTATGTTTGTCGCTTTGCCACGTGGTAGTCTCAAAAACCTCAAACCAGGGATTAAGTGCTTCGATATAAATTTACCCTCGTTCCACACCGGCCCTCTGAACTTGAAAGGCCACATGCACGCATCACTCGCTCAAAAACTATATTTTCTAGGCCTAAACATCGTTTTTTGCAAGAGTCACCCCGAGCTCATGGCGTAAGGTAATGAGTTTTTATTGTTGGCTCGTTTTCCATCGAAATAGGTCTCACAAAACTCACAAAACTTGGTCGGCCATTTTGGGCGAAATCACCATCAGTCGCCGAGGTACGATGAGTCTCTATGTTCGTCGCTTTTGCCATGTAGGTCTCAAAAACCTCAAAATCCGGATTACAGCTTTTCTATAAATTTTTCATCCTCGTCGCACCATTATCTTCGAACTTCGAAATGCTCACATGCGCATCATCTCAAAACTAAAAACTATATTTTCTAGGCCTAAACATCGTTTTTGCAAAAGTCACCCCGAGCTCATGGCGTAAGGTAATGAGTTTTTATTGTTGGCTCGTTTTCCATCGAAATAGGTCTAAAAACTCACAAAACTTGGTCGGCCATTTTTGGCGAAAATCACCATTAGCTCGTCGCCGAGGTCGATGAGTCTCTATGTTTGTCGCTGTTTGCCATGTGGTAGGTCTCAAAACCTCAAAACCAGGGATTACAGCTTTTCTATAAATTTTTCACCTCGCTTCACACCGGCTCTTCTTGAACTTGAAAGGCCACATGCACGCATCATCTCGAAAAACTAAAAACTATATTTTCTAGGCCTAAACATCGTTTTTTGCAAGAGTCACTCCTGAGCTCATGGCGTAAGGTAATGAGTTTTTATTGTTGGCTCGTTTTCCATCGAAATAGGTCTAAAAACTCACAAAACTTGGTCGACCATTTTTGGGCGAAAATCACCATTAGCTCACGGCCGAGGCCGATGAGTCTCTATGCTCGTCGCTTTTGCCATGTGGTAGGTCTCAAAAACCTCAAACCGGGGATTACAGTTTTTCTACATAATTTTTTCACTCGTTCACAGACCTTCTTGGAACTTGAAAGGCCACATGCACGCATCATCTCGAAAACTAAAAAACTATATTTTCTAGGCCTAAACATCGTTTTTTGCAAAAGTACCCCGAGCTCATGGCGTAACGTAATGAGTTTTTATTGTTGGCGTTTTCCATCGAAATAGGTCTAAAAACTCACAAAACTTAGTCGGCCATTTTGGGCGAAAATGCACCATTAGCCACAAGCCGAGGCCGATGAGTTCCATGCGGCGCTCTTGTTCGTGGTAGGTCTCAAAACCTCAAAACCAGGGATTACAGCTTTTTATATAAATTTTTCACTCGTTCACGCTCGTTACCTCTTCTTGAACTTGAAACGCCACATGCACGCATCATCTCGAAAACTAAAAAAACTTATTTGGGCTCAAACACGTTTTTGCAAGAGTACTCGGCTCATGGCGAAGGTAATGAGCTTTATTGCTGGCTGTTTTCCTGTTCCAAAGCTCACAACACTTGCCTGGCCATTTTTGGGCGAAAATCACCATTAGTTTTCACGTCGGTCGATGAGTCTCTATGTTTGTTGCTTCTGGCGAGGTTCAAAACCTCAACCAAAGGATTTCCATTTTTCGCCTCGTTCACGCCTCCTTTTCTGAACTTGCAACGCCATTATGCACGCATCATCTCGGTTCGAAAAACTATATTTTCTAGGCCTAAACATCGTTTTTGTAACGTCACCCCGAGTCATGCATGTTAGTGGGCTTTTTGCCACTTCCATCGAAATAGGTCTAAAAACTCACGAAAAATACTAGGCGGTACCGCCGTCTTGTGCGCAACGTCGTAGGTCTGATGACGTGTCTTATATGTTTTTCCTCGCTCGGGCTAGAACTGAAAACTGGGGGATTGCAAGCTTTTTCATGTTTTCACTTGTTGAGACGCGAAAAAACTGAAAAACCAGCTTTCTAAAAGGCATGCTTTTTTTGCCAAATGTTCGGCTCATGGCGAAGCGTAATGAGTTTTTATTGCTGGCTCGATTTCCGATCGAAATAGGTCTAAAAACTCACAAAGTTTGCCATTTTTGCGAAAATCACCACTAGCTCGACGTGTCGATGAGTC